AACTCATAGCAACCCCGTGTACAATAGCTCTGAAGCCTGCTGCTCTGTGCTGAGCCTGTCTCACTGACTCTGATACGCCTACACCCATTGCTCTAGTTACTGGATCAATCCATCTCATCCAGGATCTTCCTCTCCTGCACCCTTGTGAGCATGATGCCCCTCTCCAAGGACCAGTGCCTCCTGGCCACGTGCCCAAGCGTTTGAGATGGAGCTTCAAAATCCTAGCCTCCGGGGGGATCGGCGCGGGTGGGGATGGGGGAATTGTATACCAATGAAGGAATTTTTTTTTTCTTTTCAAAGAGAGGAGCGAACTGGTGGGGAGGGGTGGGCCGGGAGAAAAGTGCAGCAATGAATGAATGGAAATCCAAAATCTCTGTAAATGTTTATTAAAATTAATAAAAATGGGGGCGGGGAATCCTAGCCTCCAAGGAGAAACTTGGCTTCACCCTCTCTAAGACAGACCTGTTTGTGTTCTTGGATGGTCCATGGTATGTTTCAAGACTCTTCTCCAACACCACAACTTGAAGGCATCCATTCTTCTTCTGTTGTCCTTGGTCATTATCCAGCTCTCTGATGCACAGCAAGTAACTGCGAATACTGTGGACTGGATCAGGTGCACCTCAGTCTCTCTAGACTGACCTCGTTGCTTCTCAGCACTCTGGAAAGGTCCCTGAGAGCACATCTACTTAATGCAATTCACATCTTCATTTCCTGACTGCTGGTGCCAAGAGGGTTGATTGTGGAGCCGAGCAAGCTGTAATTGCTAACAACCTCAATCTCTTTTCCATCCATCACGGTGTTGCCAATCGGCCCAGGGTGGGAATCTTTGCCTTTTGATGTAGAGCTTCAATCCATCTTCTAGACAACAGTCTTTGACCTTCTGTAGCAAGTAATTCACGTCTGCCTGTTTGAGCCAGCAAGGTTGTATCATCTGCATAGCATAGATTGTTGATGAGTCTTCCCCCAATCCTGATGCCACATTCCTTCTCATCAAGCCCAGCCTCCCAAATGATCTGTTCTGCCTATAGATTGAAAAGGTATGGAGACAGGACACATCCTCGACACACTCTCTTCCCACTTTTAAACCATGCAGTGTTTTCCTGCTCTGTTCTGAGGACTCCTTTCTGGTCCAAGTATAGGTTTCACATAAGCACAATCAAGTGTTCTGTGATTCACATTCTCCTCAAGGTTAACCACAATTTGTTGTGATTCACACAGTCAAATGCCTATCGCTTTGTAAGAACCAGCCAGCCTAGGTCAGAGGGGTTATTCATGCCCAGATCTACCTGCGGCCCTCGGGCCAAATAAACAACTCTAGCATGCCGGATCTAAAGGAGACATAGACCTCACCTTGGAAATGATCATATTCTGACAGCCTTGTGGTGCAAAAGGAAGAGCAGAGACACTCTGCCCCAAGACAACAGCCCTCAAGTAGGAGCTCAGGGGCAAGAGACTCCCCAGTGCTGCCGGAGACAAAAAGACCTCCCTGAACTGATGATACATGAGAGTTGGACTTGACTTCTTCTAGACGTGAGAAAGAAATCAGCGCGAGAGACCAGCAACCCTGTGTGGTGCAAGACATCACAGAAGTGACTTGTGGCCTAAGCCATCACATCAAAGGGTTGCTGGGGGGAGTGGGGTGCTGGACAGGGAGGAGGGAGTGCAAACGTTGCTAATATTCAGGGAAAGGGAAGGACCACGGCAAACATTCCGGGGGAGGGCACCGCATGGATAGTTATCTCTAAGGGAATGTGTCTTTCATTTGCATATATAGTATTATTTATATTATATACATAAATATTTCATAGAATAATCGACTGTGCATTTCCCATTTTTAAAGTAAAACAGTTGATCAGAAACTAGATGTAATTTGTGCATTTTTATGTGTAACTGTTAAGATAACTGTTCACTTTTGATTTTTACTCATTTTTGCTAACTTAAAACAATTAGCAGAATTAAAGCTCATTAAATGAGTAAACATGGCTTGTTTGATAATGATGGTGCCTCTGTTGCTTTTAGGAATCAGCTATTACGACGCGCTGTGCACAGCCATGGCCGAGGAACTGAATGCCGTCATTGTCTCCATTGAGTAAGTAATTAATACTGAGTCATGGAACTTTTTCATTATTATAAAGAGATTCTAGAGAATAACGCAATATTTGATGGTTGAGGTGGTACAATGAAATGTAAAATAAAAGTTGAAGTGATTTCCTCAAGGTCAGATGCAATATAACCTCAAAAACATATTTCAGATGTAACTAATTTTTTAAAAAAACTATAATTACTTTTTTAGATTGATTTTGGAAACTTCCTGGAAAGAACTTAAGTGAATGTGAATTATCTGCAGTACATGTGTTTGTCCACTTCCTTTTTTAGTTGCTCTGGTAGCCTAATGGTAGGAAGCTGCACTGTAATCCTAAAAGCACACAGTTTGAATCCAGAAGCTGCTCTGTGGGAGATGGATGGGCAGTGTCCTCCCATGTGATACGTGACTTCTGAAAACCCACAGACGGGTTTTCTGTGGCTTGGTTTCTACTCAAAGGCACACAACCACAATTGCCTTTTTAACTTAAAGGATAGTTAAGATTTTAAGGGATTTCATCTCTTTGAAAAAAAATCAGTTGACCATAGGTAGATGAGTTGATTTCTGGATTCTCAATTCTATTCCATTGATTTATGTGTCTGTAGCTGTACCAGTACCACGCTGTCTTGACCACCACGACAAGTGTAGTAAGATTTGAGATCAGAGAGTAGGGATCCTTGTTTCTCTTTTCCAGTAGTGTTTTGCTTATTCAGTCTTGTTCCATTCCAGATAAAACTGGAAATTGCCTTTTCCATCTTGTCATGGAATATAATTGGTATCTGTATTAGGATTACATTGACTTTGTAGATTGCCTTTGGTAGAATTGTCATTTTCATAGTATCGAGTCTTCCGATCCATGAACATGGCAGAACCATGATTCAGACATGGACGCACACCCATGTTTATTTCTGAATTATTCACAGTAGCAAAGAGATGGAAGTAACACAAGTCCTTACTGACAAACAAATGGATAGAAAAACTGTGATACAGTCACACACTGGAATATTATGCAGCCTTGAAAATACATTGAACTCGTAAAACATTACACAACGTGTGTGAGCCTGGTGGACATTATGCTGAGTGAAATATCTCAGTCGTGAAAGGACAAATACTGCATATCACTGCTATTATAAAATAGGACTGACATGGGGAATTGGACAGAAAATAGGAAAGAGTGACTAGATATTGAACACTACTTGGAACAGATGCAGAGAAGAACATCCAAAAGGAATATATGATTGGGGATTAGGTATTTGACAATAATCTGGAACAAAAGGTTACTGGGAGAGGGAATAGAGAGAGAGGGAAGAAAATGTGCAACAATGAATGAATGAAAATTTTAAAAAAATATTAAAATCTTTAAAAAGATTGATAATCTTTCCTATTGCCATGTGAGAAAAGTTATTCTGACGACTGCCTCCTGGTCCAAGTATAGGTTTCGCAGAAGCATGATCATGGTGTTAGGTTTCATGATTTGGATTGTGTGGTTGGTAACACATGTTCAGTAAGTTTGAGTTGATGTAGCTATTAGTATCATTCATTTTCTCTCATTGCCATTGAGTCAGAACTGACTTATGACTGACCATCAAGCGGACTTTCAAAGGCTGGAGATGACAGAGGAGCTTGCCCGTTATTCTTCCTCGATACATCTGGTAGATTCGAACCATTCACCTTTGGTTTGTCAGCACAACTTCCTAACGCTAGGCCATCAGTAAAATATTATTACGGTTTTGAACTATCTCTATTAGTTCTATATTAGCTCCTTTTCAGGACAACTACGAACAATGAGAACAAGAATGATAACAATTATAGTGAAGTAACAAAAATCATCATTCCTGTTCTGTGCCGGGCCGCACCTTCTACCCATTGTCTCACATGCTTAAGATCTCAGTTCAAGAATTTCAAATTGGAACTATACTCTTACTTTAGTTCTTTCTTTCAAAAGCCATCCTTAATATCTGACAGAATATATGCATAATTTATCTATGTGTTTATTGTCATGGGTGGAGAGAGACAGCACAGCTTCATGAAGGCAAGCAAGTGCCTGGGGAATTGTCTATATTTTTTCATTGCTAAGCCATCAGTACCTAGTCAGATCCCTGACATGTAGTGTGCCTTCATCGACTACTTATATGAATAAGGGAATAGGTGAATGAATGGGGGGAAAATACCACTTACTTCTTATACAGTATGTAAGATGCATGCTTTGGTATCTTCTTCATAAATGAACGAATTGAGGCTCTAAGAAGATAACTGGGGTGGTGTTAGCACTAGGCGTTGCCCTGGCAACCCGAAGGCACATGGTTTAAATCCCCCAGCTGCTCTATGGGAAAAGGAGGGGCAGTCTCCTCGTGTGGGATTAACGGCCGGTGAAAACCTGCAGGAGGGTCACTCTCGGTCAGTAGACTTGACCGTACACAGCAACCACAAGATAGGTAACTGCGTGTGGCCACACAGCTAGTGATCCGGGAATGGGGATTTGGGTGCCATTGTCAAGTCCGGGCTAAAGACACCTAAGGATGCTGAGTGACAGAGCTGTAGCCATTCCACACGCTACCCAGGTCCGGAGTTTGTGCAGGTTTTCCCTTCCATCGTCTTCTCTCTGCCACTTTTCTCCCTCTCCTTGACTTTGCCTCATATTCTCGTCTTAGCTCTCTAGGTCCGAGATCTAAGAGAATTTCTCCTTCTCTAGTCTCTGGCTAGGGTTGGGTCTTAGTCAGCAGAAGCACCCCAAGTGGATGGCTTTAATACACATAAATTTGTTCTCTCATAGTACAGGAGGCTGGAAGTCCAAACTTAGGGTGCTGCCTTCAGGATAAGGCGTTCTCTGTCTCTGGGGGCTCACAGCTTGGAAGGGAGGCTCTTGTTCCCTTTCAGCGTCTATGGACTTGGCATTCCTTGGAGGTCCCCATGTGTTTGGGACGTTCCCAACTCAGGGACACTGTGTCCAAAGGACACATTCCACTCCTGCCTCTTTGTTCTCTTCTGGATTAATAAGTCACTTTGATCCTTGCTTCCTTGTTTAATTTCTTTTATATCTCAAAAGACTCCAGATGTAAAGTAATCATGTAAATTGATTGTGTCTGCCTCATTAATGTAACTACTTCTAAGTTGAGTGGCCAACTCAAAGGCATTCAGTTACCAGCTATTCCAAGGAGAAAGCTGGCAACAGCCTCTGAAAACTCTGAAAGGTCAGCTGTGAGTTGCTTTTGACTTTACTGCAGATTAACAACAACAATGTTGGAGAGTTTAGGATTTACAGCAGATAGGATCATTACATCAGATTGTAAAATGGAAGAGTTACTTAATGTTGAGAATCATGGCCTGGAGAAGTTGACATGTTTTGGGCACACATGGTTTAACCCTTAACAGGCTGGTCTAGGCAGCTCTGACTCTATGACCAGATGCCCTGACAGTCATGTGAGTGGCATTATAACTTTCACCTCACTGAGAATTCAGGGTCAGACTGCCCTGGATAGCTCCCTAGCCCTTCCTGGATCCGTATTCAGACTTCCAAAATCAAGCAAGGCTGTCAGTGCCGTTTTGCAATGAAAGAATCTTCAAGTAAAAGATGACATCATTTAGCTCCGGCAGCTAGCCAGAAGAAAACAGGGATGTTTAAACAGCTGCGGCCTCGCCACAGAACACTTTTTCTATAACTTGGCGCCTGGGAGGTGGTGTCGGGGCTCCTTCAGTGGTTTCCTGGTTAACTTCAACCCTTTACAGGCCTGAGCCAAGGTGGAAAGCTGGCCTTGCTGCGTTTATTACCGTTACCACTCCCCAGTACAGACTCACCCTCCAGGCCTTCAGTGCGGAGGAATGGTTGTTTGCTGTCCACGTGGAACACCCTCTAGTGAGTTTTCAGAGGCAGTAAATCTCAGGGGAGGAGAGTGCCCATCCTTCTCCCACAGAGATGGATTCCAACCAGGTGAGAGGTACCCATAACTGGGGATTTATCGCAGAACATACAGGAATGATTGATCGATCGATTTTTTAATTCTTAGTGCTGCTGGTGTGGAAATACTCAAGTGGCTGGCTTCAAAGAACAGATTGATATTCTCACAGTTCTGGAGGTGAAAAATCCAAATTCAAACCAGGGTCTGGACTGCGATGATTCTTTCCACATACGTAGTTGCAGGAGTTCCTTGGGTCCTTGACTTGTAGATGATTCTGAAAACTTCCAGGGAAGGATTTAACTCAAAGTGAATTTTCTGTATATGTGAATCGTGCCTTTTTAAGAATCCACCTTTCTTGTTGTTGATTGCCGTCAAGTTGAGCACAACTTCTAGCAACCCTATGAACAAAAGACCTGATGCCTTTCTAGAACTATCGTCATTTATCAAAGTTCATAGAGTTTCCAGAGGCATGTTGTTTAGGAAGTGGATACCACTTCTGCTTCCAAACCTGTCTTAAACTGGGAGCTCCACCAAATGGTGTTCACAGTGGGTAACTGTATGACATTTGACACCCCAGTGGCACAAGGTTCAGCATCACAGCAACCCCAGGTTGCCTCAGTACAGGTGGCTTCAAACCATCTGCCAATGGATTAGCAGTGCAACTGCTAACAGTAACTGCTAGTAGGCGACCAGAGCTGCCTATCCTACTTGGGTAGGCTTTAATTAACCTAATAAAGAAAACACATTTTTCAAGCTAGATTACTTCCACAAAAATTGAGGTTAGGATTCCCACTCATATTTTGGGCAGTTTAATCTATAGAATTCCTCTGTTTGGCCTCTCCTAAAATCTGTGTCTTTAGGAGTTTTTGTTGTTGTTTTTAAATAACTAACACATAGAAGAGGCCCTTTATTCTGACCTTTTCTTTGTGCTCGATCAGTACAGTGTAGCGTTCAGAGCTGCGGGTAAGTGCCGTCACTCACGGGCAGTGTGTCTTCTGACGTGCCACTTACCCTCACAATGTAGCTGGCTGTCCTCTGGAAGCAGAAGCCACTGCTTGCGTCCTTTGGCTTCCCAGCACCTAGAGCAAGATTGAGAAGATACAGGATCAG